CATAAGTAGTAAGTCAGGTGTTACAAACCTTAACCAAATCATGGCACATGATCATACAGAAGAAATGGGGCAATGTGTACAATGGATTTTACTTCAAGCTACTCATCCCATGCTTCATGATAGTGCTTTATTTTCGAGTATCATTAGTTGTTATGATCCTCAATTTAGTTACCTTTTATTATTTAAGTTTTGGAATGAAGGGTGAAGTTCCGAAACACACAATTGAATTTGTCTTGCACAAACTATATAGAGTGTAAGGTAGTGCTTGAAAACATAAAGACATAAGGAGTAAAGTCTGGTGCTACAAACCTTAACCAGATCATGGCACATGATCATACAGAAGAAATGAGGCGATTTGTACAATTGATTTACTTCGAGCTACTTGTCTTATGCATCATGATAGTGCTTTATTTTCAAGTATAGTTAGTTGTTATGATCATGTAGATAAGACTTTTAAATTGAAAGATGAAATCACATTAGTTTATGTTTTAAGGGATATATATATATATATATAATATTATACATATACAACAGCCAACTTTTTATTGGTTTATAATATATATATATATATAATATTATATATATATACAACATCCAACTTTTTATTGGTTTATAATATATATATATAAATAATATTATATATATATAACCAATTGTTTCAATATTATTGAAACTTGCGACCTGATCAGCAATAGGTTGGCTTTGACTAGCCAAACTTTCAACTCACAAAAGAAATATTAACGTGGGGCCATCAATTCAAAAACAAATATCAACGTGGAGATTGGCTTTGGCCTTCAACTAAAGGTCTGAAACCCAGCTACCTTAGCAATGAGGGAGTTAATCAAACAGCAGATTCAACAAACCCAGTAAACAAGTAATCTCGTATTTCATTAAGAACATAAACGATTTTTGATAAAAAAAATTTTAGCTCAATAACTCACTTTCCTTTTACTATTCTAGCTGCCATTGTTATCAAATGAGACCCAAACTTCAGCTGATTTTTGGTGGTGAGAATTCTTCACTCTCTTAAACCCTTTGGCTGGCCCCAAGCCAAGCTTGTGGGTCTTGTCATTCTATTTATTTATTATTTGACTATTGCTATTATAAATAACAATATCTTTGTTTTGGCTAGACCTTTGGATTTCCACTTGACTTGGTTTGGAATAAAAACCACTTGGCTTGGCTTGAATTTGGTGACCACATCCAAACAAATATTGATGAGGATGTTGAACTTAGCGGACCGTTATAAGATGAAAAGGTGAAAGAGTTAGTGAAGAGTTTATGTGGAAATTGTAAAATAGTATTTGTAAGTGATTTAGTTGAACAACTGGAAAAGTGCGAAAATATAGATTATGACTTTAAAGTTCGATTTATGATGTTTGCACTTGACATTGTACTTTGCCCCACATCTTCACTATCAATGACCAGAACTATTTAACTTTCTTGACGATTCCAAGGAAGATAGAAAGCAATAACTGGGCTGACCATGCATTCAACTTATTATGTGAAGGTGTTAGGTCATTCAAAATGATTAAAGTGGCATATGTAAATGGGTCATTGCTTTTCCTCTAACTATTCTATTTTGATTCAACTGTCCACGGTAAAGTATATGTTGATAAATATTTGGATCCCATTGTATCACGAGACAATAATTCGGTGTGTAAATTGATTATATGGGGTTAGAAAGCAAGGTGGGTTTGATAGTCCTACAGTTGGGGTTATTTCAAGGCACAGTAGAATGAATGAAATGTTCCGAAGTGAACATTGAAAGAATTGTTGAAGAGGTTGCTATCACTTTGGCGCCAATAATACAAGCCGAGCTCAAGCGCTTAGTGTTGGAACTCACTAAGAAGGTAATGAGTGAAGTGAACTCCTTCATGAAAGACACAAGACAACATCTTCTTGTCAGACATATAGAGATGTAAATGAAACTAAAGGGGACGGGGCATTGAAAAAAACTAAGGAATGTGGTGCGAATGTTATGACCAAGAAGGATGAAGAATGTAGCAAATTAAATGAAAAAAGTGTAGTTGACATGAGCAATTCATCAACACCATTACTGAATGGACAGAGTTGCATTAAACCTGAGGTATGATGAGCGATTAGGAGTTTGAAGATCAACAATAAGTTGGTTTCTTGCTATCGTTTACATTTATTAAGTATCCATGTATTTGGATAGTTGTAATATACTTAAATATTGTTTTTTCCTGCATGTAATATTTGAATTCCCTTTTCCGCACAATTCAAAATTAGCGTGGAAAATAGGAAGGTCACGAAGTTGCCCTATGGTGATTGAAGTGGAATATAAATATGTCGTATAATCGAAAGGCATCCAGGACATCATTGTAAAGAGCCATGGGTTGACTTAGAAGATTCCGATTTCGAGTTATTTAGTTATATTTTTAGGTCTAACGACACTTAAAGGTAATTAGTTACAACTCATGAATTAACAAATCAACAAAATTCCCTTTATGTAGTTGTCTACATCAATTTAATTATAACAATTGATTTCTTCTTCTAGTGTAGTGAGGAAGTTATAATTGAAAATTGAAAGAGGACATCATGTGACTCGAGATGAGTTCATGTGCCTAATGTCGGAAATGTGGATTAATGACCAAGTGATTAACAAGCAAGTGTGTTATTTACAAGAAAAGGGATCAAGGAGTTGGTACTTCCCCACATAGCTATCGGTATGCGTTTATATTTTTCAAAGTGTTATAAGTTGTTATTTAGTAAATGAATTTAAGTTTAAACTATATCTCAATGTAGGATCAAGTTAATGATACAACTAATGGTAAGTTGGACAATTTGGGTGTCAAAATAAGAAAGGGAAACTCAAAGCGATTCACCATAGGCCTTAAAAAGTGTGATAAGGTATCAATTTAAGTTGTGTTTGGCAACATCTTTAGCTAGGTTATTTATATGCATGTCTTTTTAAGTAACTCATTATGCTCCTAGATGTTCATCCCTGTTTTGGATTGAATTGGGAGTCATTGGTATTTGGTAGTGGTACGTGTTGGTGATCAAAAGGTTGAAATATGGGATAGCCTTACAACTGCTAAATACAACGCATCTTGTTATAAATAAGCTCTTGACCACATTTACATTAACAAGATTGTCACGAATTTTTAAAAGGGATGGGAGTTTGCAAAATAAAAAAATGTGTGAAGTGACAAGGGCTGTAAACAACCAAATGGATGGGATTGTGGTGTCTTCGTTTTGAATTGGTTAGAAGATGTTGAACGCACATCACACAGTTCAAACGGAGTGAGTTGGCCTATATATCATTTCACATTTTTGTCTTCCATGTCACATTTATGTTCATCATCATTTGTTTAATGGGTTGTTTTTTATTTTCAGTTCCAACATGTAAGTAAGCGAGTTCGTGTTGCACTATCGTTGGTGAAGAACCCAAAAAATATGCGTCTAAAGGAAGTAACCAAGTCCGCTCGACGAGTTGTTGATGAAGAATTGAACAAGTTGGCCTAACATGGTTCCTTCATCCTTCAAGATAAACTCCAAGTTCCCCAACTTGTATCGAGGGTCAAGAACAAGAGCAACCATCAAAATTTAGTTCAATTTATCAAGGTCACTCCAATACTTTTTAAATTTCATCGTCATGTTAAGTGTCATGTCCTTCAAAACCTTGGAGGTTTGGGTTTCACTTAATATTTCCTCCTCTTCCATAAACAAATCCTCAATTTCTTATTCAATTACAATCAAGTCGTGAAATGTGATTTGGGAAGTGGGATGCAAAGTGACACTCATCTTCAATATAGTATCATAAAATACCTTTAAAAAATTCACAAAGGTACGAGCATTGTTTCAATTTTGATTAGTTGCTGGCCTTTCCCTCTTTTTGGAATAATGAGATATAACCACTCCATCTTCGAGAACCGATTCATCTTCACCAAACCAAGAAATATACAGGCTTTCATCATCTTTTCCCATTCTCCAAAAAAGCTTTTTCAAACATTAAAGCTACTTCCAACATCATATATGTGGAATTCTACACATCCAACACCACAAGTCCTTTGCATTCAATTTGCTCATTCTTAACACAACCCTTAAAGCCCTATAACTTTTTGGGAGAAAATCTTACATACTTTACTGCATTTCTTATACACACTATGCTTTTCTCCAATTTCTTCAACCCATCACAAACTATCAAATTCACAATATGAGCACAACACCTAATGTGCATGTACTTTCCCTCTAATACAAGACTACCATTTCCCCAATAACCCATTTTCGACTTCAAGTAATCTATTACCTTTGTGTTTGAAAAAGTATTATCGGCCGTGATAGTTAGTATCTTCTTCATATCTCAATTAAGCAAACATGACTCGAGGAGTTTACCAATTGGGTTCCCCTTATGATTGGAAATGACACAAAAGTTCAAGATTCTATTATGCAAGTTCCAATCACCATCTATGAAGTGTGCTGTGATTACCATGTAATTTATGTTTTGAACACTTGTCCAAGTGTTTGTTGTGGGGCACACTCTTATGTGGTGCTAATTCTTCCTTCAATTTTTATTTCATGGTATCATACATTACCATGAAATACCTCACAAGTGTCCTACGAGATGACACTTGGAAATGGGGGTTCAAAGAATTACAAGACCGCATAAACCATTTTCCTTCAACCACACTAAAAGGCATCTCATCCATTACTACAATCTCTACACATGCATTTAACCACTATTCTTTGCCATGCACTGTTGATGTAAGAACCCCATGTTCTTGGCCAAAAGACAAGAGCCTTTGTCATTTATCTTTAGGAACCCCCAACCCCACCCCCCTACCCCCACCCACACCCGGATATTTCTTACATAGGTTCTCAATATGTTTCCTCAAATTTGAGGTCCAATTTCTAATGGAGTCTGCTGTATAGCTTATAGAGCAATACTTGCACCTATCTCTCTTCTTAGTGGTTGCATATTTGCTCTCATCCTACTTCACGCTCTCAACCACATTTTCATATTTCTCAAAGTGATCTCATACTTCCAATTTTTCTTTCTTTGGACTGGAATGAGGTAATGGTGGAAGATCACTTGGTGGAGGTGGTGTTTGGGTATGAGGCACTTTAACTTGGTGTTTGAAGGATGGGTAAAATGGGTAAAGGTGTTGATGCAGATGCGGATGCGAATGTGGATACGGATGCATATGGCGAACCAACTTCATAGTGGCATGCACCTCTCCAAATGGGTTCGACTCATTCATGAATTCTTTAATAAACAAAAAACAACAACTTAAAGTTTAAACATGATATTAACAAAAAACAACACCTCAATTTAAAAATAAAATAAACCATTATACAATCTAATTAAACTAAACAAAACAAAATCTTAAAACATTATTCAATCCCATAGATTAAATTTGAAAATAAACAAACCACTTTCACAGCAAGCAAATAGGAACATTTATTAGTTCATAACATTAAAGTCATTGGTATAAGAAATTAAGCAAAACTCTATTAAAATCTACAAAAGAAAATTTCTTGTATAATTTAATTAAGCAAAACCCTATTAACATGATTACCAACTAGTTTATTCACCATCAATAAAAAACTGTTCAATTTACAGATTATCAACAAATAAACACAGCAAAAACATAGGTTATCAACAATTTACAAATTACAGACCTGTCCAACATATTTTCTCATCAATAATATAAGCAAATTTTGATAATTTTCAACAAATAAATACAGCAAATCAACAAAACATACATACCAAATATATTTTGCCATCAATAATATATGCAAATTTTCAATGGTTGACAGAGAGAGAGAAAGAGATGAACAATCAAAGAATCGAAGAGGAGCTGAGAGAGAGAGAGAGAGAGAGAGAGAGAGAGAGAGAGAGAGAGAGAGACATAGAGAGCTATACGAGATGAAGATGTGGAAGTTGCGAATTACTGGAAGCTGCGAGCGAATTGCTGGATCTCCGACTTGCTAGAGGACAGAGAGAGTTGTCAGAAAATCGAATGGGGAAAAAAAAAGAGAGATAGAGAGAGAGAATCTAACCTTCGTGATGGTGGCGATTAAGAGAGGTTGAGTTTGAGAGAAGAGCAACGGCTGAGAGAGAGGTTTGGCGTAGAGAAGGGTTTCGGGGGTTGCTGAGAGAGTGTAAAAGAGAGAGGAAGAAAAGAAATGGGAGGAGAGGAAAATGCATAAAGAAAAAAATCCTAAGTCAGCGCGTTAGAATTTGTGTGTGATCCTGTGTGTACGCGCCTATGGTAGCAGCATACACACCCAATCAAACTTAGCCATGTATTAAAATATATATATATATAATTTCAAATATAAATATATATAATATATAAATATATAAATATATATATATTAATTATATTGGATCGGTTCGGATTAGACTGGTTCCTTATGGTGAAAAACCGAAACCGAAACCGAAACCGATTTAAACCAATCAGGTTCAAATTTGTCTCGATTTTTGACTTTTCTGGTCAACATGATTTTTTCGGGATTGGATTGGTTCGGTTTTGCGGTTCTAATGCCCACCCCTAATAGCTAGTGGAATTGCATTACATGACTGTCAATTGCATATCATGTAATTAAATTCTATTATTTGCTTACAACCATTTTTGTTGTTGTTATTGATGAAATGAAAACATTTTACCTTTTGGAGGACGTAATCGTGCCAATCATTGGCGAAGGCGGTTCCATTGAATGACAACGTGACGGATTATTTTCCTTTGGAGGATGTAATCGTGCCATTATTTTTGGCACAGAACACACCACGGGAACTGGCTGCATGCATTGTTCACATGAGGATCCATGTGTCTGGTTTTCTTCGCACCACTAAATGAACCACATGTAGTGGTTTTCACATTACAAGGTACATCACCCCTAAACCCTTTCGTCACAACACACTTATTTTTTTCATTAACTTGGTGAAGATAGATAAGTTGGAGTGTGTATGATAGGATGATCGAAAAATTGTGGACATAAGGAGTTGTTTTATAGAAATATGTAGAAGCAATAAAGGGAATAGTTGATTCAATTATACAAGCAATGAAGGGTGTGGTTGGTGGTTAATGCAATCATATAAGCAATGAATGAGGTGTAGTTGATGCAATCTAACTTACCCTTGGACAACACACATTGATATAAGTCTCATTTTCAAAACTAATTTCTAGAATATCTAAATTTTAAAAAAATTATGGATTTGCATTTCTAATAACCTTGAACCCTAAACCCTGAATCCAATACAATTTTAACCCTAAAGCTCAAACCCAATTCAATTTTAATCCTAAAGCCCAAACCCAATACAATTTTAACTCTAAAGCCCAAACCCAATTCAATTTTAACTCTAAAGCCCAAACCCAAATTTTTTTTTAAAGCCCAAACCCAATACAATATTGGGTTTGTTTTTTGAAGTTCCCTTGGGTTTATTGTATTAGGTTTTCACTTTAGAGCCCAAACCAATGTCAATCAACTCGAATTGAGTTTACTGTATTCAAAATTTGCGAAAATTCGAAGTGTTACACTCTCAGTCTCTCTCTCTCTCTCTCTCTCTCTCTCTCTCTCTCATGCCAATCTTACTGCCTTTGGCTTGTCTGTTGGCTCTCAACCCCTAGTGGAAAAACCATCAAAACATAACAAATCAACCACATAGTTGGCTCTGGATTGAGAAACCGTTTCACTAGTATAATTGTAGCTTATGTCTGGTGACGGCCCATTCTGGTTACTGTATTGATAGCTTTGACTTCCTGAAATCATATTCATAGTTGCGTTTCTACTCGGATGCAAGTTTCTTTGAGAACAATTACGCTTTGTATGTCCATATCCACGACATAAATGATATTGTCGACACTTGCGGGTTCTACTCTGGCTTGCTTGAGTGCCTTTTGTCTTAACGATGTTTGGATATTTCACAAAATTTAGAGGACATTGCTCAGCATTACCCAATTTAAGACTTGTATCTTCTTCCTTTTGCTTAAGCCTTCACATATTCTCTTCTATTTACTAAACTCATTCGTTAACATGGCATAACCATCTGCACTCTTCGATGCATAAAAACAAACTTTGTTTGATATAACACTTAAACTTCCGTATCTCGCCATTTCTACAACTTCCTAGTTAGTGCCTTCGCCTTCGACCATAAATTTGCTAGAAACATCAATTTGGCACTCTTTGTCCATCTCTTCATTATGAGCGATGCATGAATTTCAGTAAGGTTCTCGCACTTCGTTACATAAAACAGGTGAAACACGGGATCCCTTCACTTTCATATTTTCAGCATCCACACTCTATCCGCATATTTTCCCCACGGTGGTACACACAAGTCCAATTCTTATGCGGTTCACCATATTTTGACAATATGTATACATGACCAACAAAATTATACATAACCTTATCATGGGTGAGTGTAAACAAGCTTCGATCTTATGATGTACCAATACAAAGCACCTATACATGTAAATCGAAAAAGCTTTTTGCTCGAGTTTTGTTAATGCGGTTTTAAGGACTGGTGTTGAGTACTTTGCGTTTGAAACCACCATTCGTTGTGGTATTCCTACGACATAACATAGCCCTATCAAACAACTTAACGCCTTTTCTCAAGTAATCATTCACATACTTGTTCATATACTCCATGCGTTGAGTGGTGCATATACCACTGAAAAACTTTCCTCTAAGACATGATCCGGCCCATGAGTCTCTTTTTGCATACATCATTTCTAACCATTCGCTATGTTTCGAAGTACTGGCTCTTTCTCTCAAAACCTTTCATTTCTCCTCAAACTCATCCAACGTACATGGTTCCCAAATACATGCATAAAAATCTCTTAGTAGTTCATCATCCTTCAAGTTATTATGTGCATTCCTTGACATATGCCATGAACACAACTGATGGTTAGACATGGGAAACACATCATCAGTGGCTTTATGCATCACCTCATCACCATCCGTCAATATTGATATTGGGGTTTTATATTTCATGGACGCCATGAATGTCTCCAATACCCAATTGTAAGTTTCAAATGTATCATTAAGCAATAATGTGCTAGCGAACATTACAATGGAATAATGGTTGTTCGAACCAACAAACAATACTAGGGGCTTGTCATACATATTTGTTTTGTACGTGCTGTCGAATATGAGGATGTCTCTATAAGCAATGTACTCCAAAAGTAAAGTGGAGTCCCTTCAAAATAGATTAGCAAGCCTATTTTCCTCATTAACACTAAACTTAAAATAGAATTCAGGATTGATTGCTCATTTCGCTTTCAAGTAAGAGAGTGCGGCTTTTGTGTCACCGTCAAGCAAGATTTCCCCACGTGATGCATCAAACTTACTGTACATATCCTTGATTTGAAAACCAACATTTAAATATCTGCCACATTGGTCAACCATATACTCATATATTATATATGACATGTTCTAACCAATGCTCTTCGTATTCCCACTGCTTGTGCTAAATTGGAATTTCGAATAACACAATTACATCTAATATATGGTGATTAAAGTGGAGTAACTAGTTCATGATTGTGATGTGGTTCAAAATTCTTAATAATGCAAGTATCACGTTTCTTCTCATAACCTACCAAAAAATTGCCCGGACAATTTTCTCTTGTAATTGGCTTCGGTAGCGGAATCCTATCCGGTACCTCATTAAACTTCTCATTTCTCAAACCTTCTTTAGAACAACACCACCGTCTTATACTTACTTTCCCTTTCGTGTTACGAACCAATATGTCATTTCTCACGCTAAATCCAATTCCCTTTGCATAACTCATATAATATTACTCTTCTAATTTTATAGTTCTAAACTTTTGCCCTATAACATCTTCTCTCCTCGGTACATTAATATCAACACCATTATAATCACTACTTTGAATAACTGGATGTTCGATCGACATATACCCACTCTCTGTTGCCGGTGCCCCGTGACTTGACCTTTCACAACCACCCAGATACCTCGAATCACTACAACCACCCTTTTGATGTCTCTATGCCCCTGTCCATCTTAGTAGACCTCTCCATGCCTGAGAAACATAAATTCAAACTAAAATTACATTATAATCTAAGTGTTAACATACTTTCTGTTCAATACAGACAAATGAATAATCTCAACATGCAATTTCACATTGTCACGACAATAATTGCACATAGGAATAACTGTTTTGCAACCAAAAACATGAACGCATGACCCAAAATACATTCAACTCCTAAACCAGAAAAAGAGGGTCGTTTGAATCTTAGT